GCGTCTATGTGACTCAGTAGTACCCCGGTTCGCGCCACCTGATTCTATATTTTTTCTCCTTCCTACCTGCTTCCAAACACTCGAAGTTTTCATTGTTCGTCCAATGTTTCTGTCGAACACTGTTTCAACAGTCATTTCGCCTCTCTCCAGCTCGTTTACTGGTGTTTTTATTTGCTTCGGTTGTTGACTACATACGCCCATTCATATCAGCACGTGAATTGGTCAAGAAAGGAGATCACGAATTGCAGAAATCCATTTCAAAGCGCGGGCGTGGGCGCGAAGTGCAAGGCCCGAGGCGTGTGGCCTCGGGAAAACACGAAGTTTCGTGAACCATGGTAAGCCTAACTCTACAAGCGTGGCTTGCTGTTTCAAAGAAAGTAGAAGCGTGACAAATCGACTGACAAAGTTGTGGGTGGTCTCTGTCGATGCCACTCTCCAAGCTGAATCGATTGATGCAGGCGCCACTCTGGTGCTTCTTCTTGGCAGTCCTGTGGAATTTCGCGTTGAAACTGGACCACATCTAGATCAAGTCAAAACGTCTGGCCCCCTTTTGGTCGGAAATTGCCTCTGGAGACGCAGAAAAAAACCCGAAAGGTGTCTGACTTGGCTACGTCAGCCAGACAGCTACTGCAGCAGTATAATGTCTCTCGTTTACAAAATTACGCTAATGCAAAAACAAATGTATGAACACTACACAAAGAATAAATATGAAAACAACTCTTTCTGCTTTAAAAGGAAGAAATTACAGAACATGGAAAGCAACCAACAGCGCTATACACATGTGACATATTCTGTGTTTAAAAAACGACACAATATATATTATACAGCATTTGAATGCACAGGAATGCATAACTTAGCACAAAAACCTAAAAATCGGAAAAAACGAATTAGTTTACTAATTTTTTTCATTGAGTTGAAAAGATTCTATTAGCAGTGAGTTTATATACTTCTATATTTGTTTAAGATATCTGGTATTATTCTCGCTAATTTGGTAAGCCGTAGTTTGTTCATAACCGAAATTTTACTATCATGTAGTCTTCGTCTGATATATTTTTTTTTGAAAAAAGTTCTGTTGCTTTTATACTAGTGCAGTATTTCCTGCGTCAACTCAAGTTTATATACGTGCTTTATTGGCAATATATTATATTAGCTGAAATAAGGGGTTGTGCTCACAGCGGGTGAGATATTTCCAAGTGCTCGTATTTCCCACTTATGCAACCATAAGAAGTTAATTTAAATTCGTCTCGGCAGCTGTAGGCCACACTAGAGAGTAGTATGTTAAACATGACTGCATAAGGGCATAGTAAACCTCGCGCCTGTTGTTACGGTAGAAAGGGCCTTAGTTTATTACTGATGCAGTCGCTTTAGGTACATTAGTCTTTAGTGAGTCCACATGTGGTTTTCACGAGAGATTCTCGTGAAATATTACCCTAATGGAACCTGGTGGTTGAAGTCTGCTGTAGCAGTGTTTTTTGAAATACCAGTGGTATATGGTTTGTTGATATGTCGTTCATTGGCTTTCAATAAGACGTACTGTGTTTTCTTGTATTCAATTGAAGTTCGTTAGCATCCAACCAAAAGTCAAGTTTTTTAACCACGTATACACCTCCTAAAAATGTCGTTCAAATTATAGCCAGAAAAAAAACACGTTCATGTCATCTGCATACAGTTTTGTACTTTTTACATCTTTCTGTATTAACAACATCGATATTATCAGGTAAAAACAGTTCTGGTCCAAGAATAGAGCCTTGAGTTACTCCATATCTTATAGAGCAAGCTTCAGATACACAGTTATTGGCGATTGTGTGTTGCGACTGTCAGTTAATGTATTTTACAGGAAAAGTTGTTATGAGATCACAAGGGTCACGTGCGCCGTAGTTGTCCACCTCCGCCGGTGTCGGTAACCACTATCGCACGAAATAAAGAAAACATACTGCATACAAAACACCAAAGACACAATCAGATCAAACCCGGGTCTCCTGCATGCCAGCTCAGTATTCTAGCCCTGAGCCACGCCAGTGCTTGAAACTACGTTTAAAACTAACCCTAAACAAGATAAATTTCGGTAACGGAATCGCAGTAATAAGAAAAATAAAACGTTTTATAACAGCAAAGAAACAACCAAGCATCAGTGAATGCAAATCGTATAATGAGTGAGTCGTCCAATTTTTCAACCCCTTAAAAAAGCTTCGAAAGGATTTCGAAGATTTAGTGCGTAGTGGGTCCCCTGTAAGTGTAATTGTAGCAGTTACCTAAAGAATGTTCAAAGAAGGCTCTAGAAAGGCGCCTCTTCCAGCTTTAGCTCTGACTGTGCTGCGTCGGTAGTAGTAGGACGTATGCTGTTCTGGCAAAATGGTTACCGCTTTGTGGTGTGAGACTCGCTCGCTGGATTCCGTGCCGACCGGTTGTAACCTCACGATCTCCAACGACAATGCAGCTCTGGCCGACTGGGTTGGTCCTATGCCACCTCTTGACGCCGGTCTCCTACCACGACGACAGCGTAGCTCTTGCCGACTGGATTAGCCCTACGTTATCTCCTGTCGCCGACAAGAGCTCTCGCCACTGGCGCCCCGTCCTCGGGCTCCTGCGACTGTGTTTCTATCTTTCCTGTCTTTTCTTTACTTCCATCGCTCCCTGTCTCTACGCCTCGCTATCTCCTTCCTCTCTCTCTATCTCTCCATCCTATCCGTTTATTCCCTTCTCTACCCCCATCCCTCGTGAGCTATTGTTGAGGTGTCCTTCCCCTGAGAGACAATTACGGGGCTCACGTTTCTCTTCTTTTCATTTATACTCACTTCGCTCACGGTGCGGAGCAAGACGTCACTCGTTCATTGCCCCACATAGGATTTTTTTTCCTCGTGGCTTTTATTTTAATGTAGGCATATATATATATATATATATATATATATATATATATATATATATATATATATATATATATATATATATATATATATATATATAGAACAAGGGAAAGAAGTGTATACCTAAGGGCTCGTTTTTCCGTCCTTTAACGCAACATCAATGAGATATAACAGACAGCAATGCCAAGGAATGTACAGGGGAAGCTATTAGAACCAAAGGAATGCAAATAAGAAGAAAGAAACGTGGATGAAAAACTAACCAGCCGTGAACAGGAATCGAACCTACGACCTTCGAATAACGCGTTCGATGCTCTAACCACTGAGCTACCACAGCGGCCTTCCCTCCATCCACTTTTTTTGGGTTTATATGTGAATTCAGAAGTAGGAGTGACAGTCAGCGCCATCTATAAGCCAAACGGCGAGTGTGAAAACACTCTTATGTGCATGTTTTGGCGTCACGTAGCACACGAACTCACTATGAGCGGGCAGCTGATTAATTGTCCCTCTTATACAACCTAAACACACCAAGTCTGCCAGCACGAGACCCTCGTTCAATGAAACAAGGGAAAGAAGTGTATACCTAAGGGCTCGTTTTTCCGCGCTTTAACACAACATCAATGAGATATAACAGACAGTAATGCCAAGGAATGTACAGGGGAAGCTATTAGAACCAATGGAATGCAAATAAGAAGAAGGAAAAGTGGATGAAAAAGTAACCAGCCATGAGCAGGAATATATATATATATATATATATATATATATATATATATATATATATATATATATATATATATATATATATATATATATATATATATATATATATATGTATATATATATATATATATATATATATATATATATATATATATATATATATGGGGCAAGATGGCAATGGCACAAAGCAGCTGAGAGAACACTTGCAGTTTTTATCGCAATAAAATAAATAAACCGGTTGTTGCGCCAAAAATTAAGCGCTCTCTTATAAAAAAAATTTGCCGCGACAGGCGTTGTCTACAAAACCGGCACTTTTTCAAAAAGTGCGCTCCCTTGAGCGGCGTAGTCGCCCAGCTGACGGCGAAGAAGCAGCTTCAGGTGGGAGCAACATCCTGTAGCCGCGCGTGCTGAGGCTTGATTATTATGAGTGCTTATATCAGGAGAGCCAAGTCTACATTTTCTGTGTCATAGCGCGAGAAAACTGCACTTGAATGCACTATTCGCAGAAGTAACTACAGATGCGAAAAGTTGCACTAACTGCATGCCGGAAAGGTACTTTTTCGATTATAAAACGGCTCTACTTCGCTATCATGTGGGAATCCCTACTTTCGGCACACTGGACGTTACGTGAACTATTGTGCAAGGGAACATTAGCTCTTAACTAGAAATAAAGGGAACACCCATCGGCCTGCATATGGTCAGGCTCGCATGTGCGAAGAATCACTATTTTGGAGAAGTGCAACGATACCACCGCCCGTGACCAGATAACAGCTTTTTTATTCATCTTCAAGAGGCAATGCTTATTAAATGACATTTATAATTCTTTAGTCGATAGAAAGACAAGATTTTTGGGGGGGAGGGGGTTGATTGCTATGACCTGTTAATTGTGACAACGTGACCACTTTTGTTCTTGTATGTTGGTTTATGCATTCATATTGAAAATATAACAATAGTTGTTGAGGCTTTACGTCCCAAAACCACGAAGTGATATGAGTGACGCCGTAGTCGAGGAGGGCCTCAGAAATTTCGACCGTGTACGTACTAGAGTTCCTTTGCGTTCCCACTAATGCTCCGGCATTCGGCCTCCATCGAAATACGGCCGCGGTGCCAGGGGTTCGATCCAGCGACCTTCGGGTCAGCAGTTAAGCGCTATAACCACTGAACCACCGTGGAAGGTGTGTGCACATATTTTGAAGAGTGGTGAAAAAAATAGAGTGAGTAGAAAGTTTGCCCTGGTCCATGGTTCTTTCATACTGTGTCCTTGTGTACAATCTATGCATACCAATTTACCTTTCAAATGATCAAGTATGCAGCTCATGTACAATCCGTACAATTATGTTGCTTTTCGTTTTTTTTAATATTAACGGCGATATTTAGGTCCAGTCCGATGAGGACTAACTAAGAGATTTTACGTCGCAGTGGATCTGCGTGCCGTTTATATTTCTAAACAAGCACATGGACCCTATCTTGTCCCTGCCTAAGGATGAACTGCTGGGCTCTGTGGCCACGAACGAGATACCCAGCTACGTGGACACTATGCTTCTGCTCACCTTCGGTGGCATACCGTGGCAGGTAAGACACCAACCAAATGCCTACATCCCCAAGTGGTATTTGAGTGGTTGCACGCATATGCATGATAAAAAACTTGGGGGGCACCTAGCATAGGGCTTAGGTCTCGCATTATTTTATTGCGATAACAAATAAATGGACACTCTAGACGGCATTTTGCCGTTTTCGCACAGAAACTCTACGTCAAGGTGGTAATACTTTGCTGCAGCAAAATTGTCATTGATGTGACTTAATAACAAAAACTCTTTAACAAACTTCCTTATGGACATCAGATTAGAATATAATGTTGTTGTCCGTGACAATTTATGGCATATCCATTTTCTAGGAAATCACAAAAGTGCTCGTACTTTGAGATAATTATTGTTGAATTTTAATAGCTCGCCTACTCTGCTGGTGAGTTGAAGCGCTTATCTGTTGTTGTTTTTTTTCGGTCTGTGCACATGATAAACGCGATATTCATCTTGTGTTTCTCTGCAAAGCCTAAAGCTCAGGGGCAGCCTCTGTGGTCCTTCTTTACGCAGACTAGCAAAAGAGTTTTGTGCGCATGCTCCCAGTGTAAAATATAGATAAGCAACATCTCTGACAAGCAAAGAACAAGTGAACTGTTGTTAGGGGAGACAACTTGCCGATTTCCTGGCCATTAACTGCCTCCACATTTTTTAACGATTTGTGTATGTTGATAGCTTGCACGTGACGTCACGGACGCCCAACATGGTTCCAACATGGCGACTTAGCTGACGTCAAGGCCGTATAATCACACCGTGATTAACTAACCTTGGGATAAAACAACACTGTAAGGCTATTGGGACTCTGCGTAGAAACAATGAAGGAACCAGCATGTAATGTACTGATAACGCTAACGGGACATCATAAAGTTCACGTCCCACCATGCACCATGTTGCACTCCAGCGTGGCTGTTTAGGTGACGTGAGTGCAATTCGTCAATGGAACGTTTAAAGAACATTTCTGTAACCTGAAAGAGATCGAAGCGTATGCATTTTTGAAGATATAGAGGTATCTGTCACTGAAAACAACGTTTCTTAACTGAATACTCTGATATGGTGTCACGGGTCCTGTTAATTCGGGAGGCGATCGCCGGGCTAATTCCAAGGGCCGAAATATCGGCCCCCCAAACCGCACCACGAAAGCGTGAACAATTTAGAAGTGGTCCTTTTCGGCGCGCCAGCGGACGCTGGCTGTGGCCCAAAGAACAAGTCAGAGCCGAGAGTTGATAAACAAACAAAATTATATTCTCAATAATGGTAGATCAAAAACAATACACAAGTATGCACACTTCACAATAGTTGAGTACAATATGTCACCAATCAAACAACGAACTACACAGTACAATCAGCCACACTCGAAACAACGGACACAGACAACAATACGTACTACAATGCAATCGCATGCATTGAACAACCAAGACACTTAAAGACTAAAGAGATAGAAAACCTATTCAGTCCAAAGTTCTTGGAACAAGAGTCTAGATGATAATCTTCCGAGAATCACTTACTCAAAGTTCAGCGTTGTTGTCGTTCCGCGGCCCTCGAAGTTTCTCTTCCAGGAAACCTCGCCGAAATTTCTCTTCCAGGAAACCTCGCGTCTTCAAGTGGCCACTCTTCAAGCTTCAAACTTCTTCGCCGGAAACACGTCGGCTTCACACACGCAGCTGTTGCCACGCGTCTTCGCTCGATAGCGGTAAACACACACTCTTGCCTGTAGCTCGAGTCGTCACCCCTCAGGTGGAAATCATCTTCTTCTCCTGCTTTGTCCCTACGGACAAAACCTTCGCCGACTACACGGCGGGATACCCAACGCGCTCTGGCGCTAACTTCCGTCTTCTCCTGATCTCTCACCTCGGCTGCTCCATTAAATACCTACCGCGCGAGATTCCAGAAAGTTCTCGTCATTTCGTCGGCGCGATACGCAGCGAAGGCTGGGGAGAGGCCGAGACGGTTCGAATGCCGTCCGCGACGGATGACTCAACCCGGCATAAACCACGCCCCTTTCCATCTAGAAAATTCGAGTGCTTGCTCGGCCGCCGTATTGGGGTGAGGAGGTTCATCGGCGAGCCTACGCTTCCGAGAGGGGAGGTTCGCGCGCCCGGGGAATCTTTAGATGTTTGTTTTCTCTTTTTTTCTTTATCGTTGTCCTCGCGGCGCCACTCCGGCGTTTCGTCGTGAGAATTTGGCGGCGCGGCCTTTTTGAGCGCTCGTTCTGTGACACTGCCCCCCACTTTAAGAATATTATCTCATAATATTCAAAACCACACAAACAAGCGCGGACAGTCACCACACACTCCGAAAGACTGTAACATAGTCCGTCGCTCATGACACGTCACTTTCACAATATATCACTCAATACAATTGTACATTGTAGTTCAATCTCACAACACATGAGTATAACCACAGGTACATGAATACAATGCTCCATCACATATTCCAAAAAATACAAATATACAAAGCTCTCATTACCACGATTGTACAATGCTATACATCACCTCACAGCACAAACAATTCGACACTTGTGACACAGGATAACAAGAACATTAACACAACATATAGCACTCAGCCCTGCCAAACACAATTCGATTCCACCTCAACACCTATCCGGTGTACCTTGAGCGGCGCTTGCGCCCTTTCTTACGGTGCTCTCTCGATCTCTTCTTATTGTTTTTGCTCGTTTTGTTCCGGCGAGCCACTTCCAACGATGGTATCTGAGGCGGCGTCTCAGCCATCGTTGTCACTTCCGACACTACTAACGGGTCATGACGCCCAACCGATCCTGCCAGGTTAGTCACCCGCTTGTTCACGTCCCGACATTTGACCTGGCTGGCCGACTCCGTCATCTTTACACTGTCGCTCGGTTGAGGTCGTGCCGACGTAAGTCCAGCTGCCCGGCACGTGAACTCATTCAACACGATCATCTTCTCATTCACTGTCTCTTGCACCACGGCTTTACCTTGGGCTCGAGTGAGATCAGTCACGGGATGCTCCTCCACTGTATCACGCGGTCGCTCGGTTGGCGAGGGCTCCATCTTCGGGTCTTCTCCCAATCGTTCTGGATCATTCGGCCCTCGCGCCCCGTCGATGTTTCCGATGACGAGATCATACAGGGGGTACTTCATGCATAGAGCAGTAATCTTCCCACTAAAGTACGGGATTTCAACTTCTATTTCTGCTTCGGGAAGCATCCAAACCGTACTGTCAATTAGGCAAACCAGTTTCGTTCTGCCTGTCAACTCACTTTCCCGTACCAAATTTCTCCGCACGATAACTGTGGAGCTACCGGTGTCTCTTAGAACCGTATCTTCTTGCCCGCAACCTTCCCAGGCAGCGTCGGCATTTCCTTCGTGACATCGGTTGGCTGTTTTGTCATTACAGCACTCACAATAGCAAATTTCTCCCCACTTTTAAACTCTACGAATCCATCGGTGACGGCATTATTACCGGACTTTGGTGCCGCTTGCACACAGGATACCTGGTGAGTTTGACTCACTCCGTTACGACATGCGCCTGCCTTGTGCCCAGTCTGACCACACTTGAAACAATTTACAACCATGGGGCTCGTGAAGTTAGTTCGGCAGTTTTTAGCACGGTGACTCACACGGTTACACAGAAAACATCGCGGAATGCTCTCCGGTGCACGCTTCTTTTCTCCGGGAGCTAATTTCTTCGAATCTTCAGGACACTCCTTCTTGACCTTGGCCAAATTAGTTCCACCTTGCGCTTCCAAGAATTGATCAGCCAATTTGAGCATGCCTTCAAGTGACTTAGCTCTCCTCTCTTTCAAGTACAGCGACAGGCTTGGATGGCAACTAGTAAGAAATTGTTCTCTAATTAGGAGCTCTCTAAGCTCATCGTACTCTTGCGCTGTCCCTGAAAGTTCAATCCATCTGTCGAAATAATGGCTGAGTCGGGCGGCATACTGCGTAGCCGTCTCACCATCAGCTGGCTTTCCTGTCCAAAATTTGTCCCGGAAACCTTCTACAGTAAATCTAAATCGCTTCAGCAAAGCAGCTTTCACCTTTGCATAGTTGGCTGCATCGGTCGGCGTCAGCCTACCGTACACACTGAGCGCTTCACCACTCAAGCAGGTACGCAAAGCAGTTGCTCATTGATATTCCGGCCAATTCTGGCTCCTTGCAATCGTCTCAAATCGGTGAAGGTATGCGTCAAGGTCGTCCTTCCTTTCATCAAACGCTACGAGCAGCTTGCTTGGGTTCAAGCGGAAGCCATGATCTTCCCGTTCGCTGCTTTCAACTCTAGCTTGGACGATAGTTTCAGTTCGCTGTTGCAAACGGAGCCGCTCAAGTTCCATTTCGTGCTGCCGCTGCCGTTCCCTTTCAGCCATCTCCGCTTCTCTTTCTTCTCTCGCCCTTTCGGCTGCCAACTTTTCTCTCTCCAGCTCCAACTTCAATTGCTGCTCTCTTTCTTCTCTCAACTGTCGCTCCTTTGCCTCGCTTTCTTCTTTCGCCATTTCAGCTGCCAACCTCTCTCGTTCGAACTCAGCTGCTTTTTCTTCCTTGGCTCTCTCAGCTGCCAACCTCTCTTTCTCCACCGCCTCTTTCTCCTTCTGGCTTACCCACTTCCGTTGTTCGGCGCCAGAAAGACCCATCTTCTCACCAAGAGCTACTAACTTTTCGAGATCCATGGTGTCTCGCAAATAAAGTCTTGCCGCGTGCAATAAGTATCTGCCTAAATCAATCTATCGGAACACTTCCCTGCACTCGTAACGAGAACACTGAGCAACACACAAAATTGTTCCGATAGCACTATGAACAACTCGAGGCTCTTTCTCACTACTTTGGACACAATGTGCACCAAAAGGTCCTCGTCGCGGACGCCAGATTAATTGTCACACAGGTCCCGTTAATTAGGGAGGCGATCGACGGGCTAATTCCAAGGGCCGAAAATATCGGCCCCCCGAACCGCACCACGAAAGCGTGGACAATTTAGAAGTGGTCCTTTTTGGCGCGCCAGCGGACCCCGGCTGCGGCCCAA